GCTCATCACTCCCACCTGCTCCTTTGCCATGTTTCGTATTTGTCATGCACTCAAATTATTACTGTATGGGAATATTGGTCATATTACCACTTGCTGATATGGAGCAGTGAAGGTTAATCCCTTTTCTTCTGCCAAATTTAGTAAGTTGCTTAAGTTTTATAGCATTTGTATTGCAAACTGGACATTTAAACCATGCTTTAAAGAACTGCTCTTTTTTTGCTCGCAAAGGAGAAAACATTGAGAGTCAGTCCTAAAACAACACCAAACCTTACAAGGCTGGGCTCAGAGGCTTTTTACCTCTGTCCTGACATCCTGTCTTCTCTCTCCACTACAAGCAGTGCCATTAAGAATACTCACACTGAAATGCCTAAGGTGTCTCGTTTGTGTCAGGCACCAGTCCACACAATCTGGATGTGTAATCTCATTTATTCCTCACAACAGACCTAGGAGGTGATCTATGTTTCCTCTAGTTTATCATGTTAATAGAAAATAGAAGAAAAATGTATGATCATCTCTCTAGATGAAGTAGGAATATTTGATAAAAAATCAGTACTCATTAACAACAAAAACTTTTCAAGTAAGAAGAGTAGGAGATTGTATTAATCTAACCAGGAATGTCTTCAAAAACCTTGCACTTAAACATCATGTCTAATATTATCACTTTTAGTCACCATTGTACTGAAAGTCTCAGCCAGTGTTAAGGCAAGGGAAAAGTAAAACATCAAAGATACAGAAAGGAAAATATAAAATCCTCATTATTTATAGCCTAGATGATGGTTTTTGTAGAAAAAATACAAATAAATCATCAGAGGAAATGTTATAATTAGCAGAGTACTAAAACAATATTGCTGGATTCACAGTCAATATATGAATATAAAATATATTTATAAGATACCAACAACAAAAATCAGAAAGTAAAATTGAGGAAAAAGTATGTCATCTTTACTAGGAGAAAAACAAACACAAATATCTTGGATTAGTCATATTAAAAAGTGTCATACTCTCTATTCAATATATTATAAAATATTGTTGAGAGAAAAATTTTAAACCTGAATACAGTGACATAACATGTTTGTAGATTGGAAGACTCAGTATTTTTAAGATGCAAATTCTTCAAAATCATTGGCACATGGATGAATTGCAATCTCAATAAATATCTCAGAAGGTTTTTGTGGAAAGTGAAAAATTCATTCAAATATGTATATAAAAATGCAAAAGGCAAGAATAGTTGAGACAATTTAAAAAAGAAGTAAAAACTGGAGGACTATCATTAGAAATATTTATAAATCTATGGTAGTTAAGACAGTAAGGTATTGTTACACCATTGGAAAAATATGCCAAAGACTCTATAGAAAGTCCAAAAATTAACTTGCATATATATGCATTATTTAGGACAAATGAGGCACTGTAGAATTTTGGGGAAAATCATTGTTTAAAAACTATATAATGACCTTTCAGAGAAGGAGATCAGAAGAAAAAAAAAAAAAAAGAACACTGACCCTCTATAACAAAAATCAATTCTGAGTAAAAGAGCTTAAGAATAAAAGGTGGTGCCATTTGGCTGTGTTCCCACCCAAATCTCATCTTGAATTATAGCTCCTATAATCCCCATGTGTCATGGGAGGTAACTGAATCATGGGGATGAGGTTTTCCCATGCTGTTCTCATGGTAGTGAATAAGTCACATGAGATCTGATGGTTTTAAAAAGGGCAGTTGCCCCGCACATGTTCTTTTGCCTACTGCCATGTAAGATGTGCCTTTGCTCCTCCTTCACCTTCCTCCTTGATTGTGAGGTATCCCTAGTCACATGGAACTGTGAGTCCATTAAACCTCTTTTTCCTTAAAAATTACCCAGTCTCAGGTATGTCTTCATAGGAGTATGAGAATGGACTAATACAAAAGGAAAAACAATAGACAAGAAGACAGGAAAGGAGAATATCTTTGTGACTACTGTATGAAAAAGGATTTCCTAATTAGGACACAGAGAACACTAAACCTAAAGGAAACAAAATGATGACTTGCTTATCTCCAAAATTAAGAGGCACTAAGGGCTGGGCACAGTGGCTCATGCCTGTAATCTCAGCATTTTGGGAGGCCAAGGCAGGCAAATCACCTAAGGTCAGGAGTTCAAGACTAGCCTGGTCAACATGATGAAACCCCGTCTCTACTAAAAATACAAAAATTAGCTGGGCGTGGTGGTGGGTACCTGTAATTGCAGCTACTTGGGAGACTGAGACAGGAGAATCCCTTGAACCCAGGAGGTGGAGACTTCAGTGAGCCAAGATTGTGCCACTGCACTCCAGTCTGGACAACAAGAGTGAAACTTGGTCTCAAAAAAAAAAAAAAAGAAAGAAAGAAAGAAAAAAGAACCACTAAGAAAGTTAAAAATACAAGAGTGGATCAGAGTGGCAGAAAGTACTTACATGAAAACAAATGATGGCCGAGCATGGTGGCTCACGCCTATAATCCTAGCACTTTGGGAGGCTGAGGCAGGTAGATCACTTGAGGTCAGGAGGTCGAGACAAGCCTGGCCAACATGGTGAAACTCCATCTCTACTAAAAATACAAAAATTAGCTGGGCGTGGAGGCATGTGCCTGTAATCCCCACTACTCAGGAGGCTGAGGCGGGAGAATCACTTGAACTCAGGAGGTAGAGGTTGTAGTGGGCCGAAATCGCACCATTGCACTCCAGCCTGGGTGACACAGCGAGACTATCTCAAAAAACAAACAAACAAAAAACCCACAAATGACTTGTATATACAATATAAAAAGCACTCTTGTAGGACAGAGTAGCTAAAGAGCTAAAACGGTCCTTCAAAAAAGAGAAATCCAAGTGTTAGTAAACTTACAAAAAGGTGCTCAGCTTCTTAAACATCAGAAAAATGTGACTTCAAATAACAATGAGGTATCACTACAAACACACCATGATGGGTAAACTTACAACAATGGAAAACACCGCATGGCAGAGAGAACATGGAACACCTAGAACCATCATCATACCCTACTGGTGAGAATGTAAACTGGTACAACCATTTTGGAAAACTATTAATGTTTTCTAAAGCTTGATATACTCTTTGACCTAAGAATCCCACCTCTATGAAAAAATATGTGTCAAATAGCATTCAAACAACATTTACACTGGTACTATTCTTAATAGCTCCACATCGGAATAAGTAAATCTCCATCCACAGCTGAAAGGATACATAGATTGAGGTATAATAGGGACATCCAGGCAGCAATATAAATGAATGAATTATTGTTTCATGCAACAGAATGCATTGGTTTGCTCACGGCAAGACGCCAAATACAAATAGAAACTGGGTGATTCCATTCTGATAAATTTCAAACAAATCTTGTGTTTTAAAAGTCAGGATGGTGGTAGTTACTCTTGTATGCTTGAGATATTTACTTTTTCAATAGGAGATATTTACATTTTCATTTAATTACATTAGATTTTTTAAAATGTTAATATTAATAAAACATATTTTAAAAATATGAATATATTGATATATAATTTTAATCAATATAATAGATATAATAATTTTCTTGTTTAATACTTATAAAATTATTAATTGAAATGTGGACATATAATATTAATATCTTAATGCAATAAATATTGACTAAACTAATTTTAATTAACATAGAAATAAAATGTTAATAATAATATTATTTTAATTGCAGAATGGATTTCAGCAGCTTGAAAGAATATTCTGGAATAGGAACCCCTGCAACACCAATATCACTTATGGCATATGGCCCATCAATACCTCGAGTAAAAGCAAATTTCAGAAGAACGAGGAGAATTTTAAAAATCTAACCCTTGAAACAATCGATTCAGCTTATGTTTTTCTTTTTTTTGAGATGGAGTTTCGCTCTTGTTACCCAGGCTGGAGTGCAATGGCGCAATCTCGGCTCACCGCAACCTCCGCCTCCTGGGTTCAGGCAATTCTCCTGCCTCAGCCTCCTGAGCAGCTGGGATTACAGGCACGTGCCACCATGCCCAGCTGATTTTTTGTGTTTTTAGTAGAGAAGGGGTTTCACCATGTTGACCAGGATGGTCTCGATCTCTTGATCTCGTGATCCACCCGCCTCGGCCTCCCAAAGTGCTGCGATTACAGGTATGAGCCACCGTGCCTGGCCAGCTTATGTTTTTAAGAGGCGTAAGAGTGATAAAGATAAAAGACTGTATGCTGAATAAATTCTCAAAGTACTACCTTGATAATAGAAAAACAAATACTCTAAGACTAAAAAAAAAAAAAAGGAATTTATGCTAAAGATAAATAACAAATGAAATGAATCCATTCTAAGGATAAATGCATTGCAGCCTTAATTAGAAAACAGAAATTCTAAAGGAACCAAACTGTTTCATTGTACTGGAAAAATGACATGTATTATGATAGTAAGATATACCCATACAAAATAGCATCTATATGTTATGAAAAATGCATGACAATATAGCAGCTCAAATAATGTTACCCAGAAATATGTGTTTATGTTTTACATACACACATACACACACACACCCTGAGTGAAAGGCAGATGCATAGAAACTTTCTGAAAGGAAACCCACCAAAATGCTGTTTCAGGAAATGATATTGAAATAATAGGTGACTTTTCCCCCTACTTTCTAAATTATTTGTATTAAGGATATTTTTTAATAAGAAATAATCTATAACAAAAATTACAGCTCAAAATAATGAATATTTTGAGTGTTTTGGATATAACTTCAGCCAATCAGCCCTCTAAGAAGGAAATGAAGACAAGCTAATACACCTGAAATAAAAACACTTAAGTAATTGACTGTTGCGGATTTCAAGATATGAGATAACTGTCAACCCATTCAGACTTAAATACAGCATGACATTGAAAAAAATAGCATTTTAGTGTTTTGTTCAACGACCGTTTGCCTTAGTATCGACACTGTGGCTTGACATTTACTTCTTCAAAAGTATCTGCATTACTATGTTGTTTAAAGCAAGTAAGAAGTAACGTTTACGTACCTTCTGTCTTCTTCCAGTAGACTTTGACTTGCAGTTGGCCATCCTGATAGAAGGGAGCTCCAACTTCCAGTGGGCGAGTGGGTCGTCGTCTTTGAAAAGGGGGCTGTGTTTGAATTCCACCTTTTCTAGTTTTTGCAAGCTGTTCTTCTGCAACAAAGTACAACATTCTTTAATTTGTTTCTCAAACTCAACCCAGAAGTCCTCTGCAAAATGGAGCTCACCCTAATCTTCCTTGGATGGCAACTGCCTAGCTCAGAAACACGCACATGCTAGCTGCCTAATATGTATTGGATGAAATGAAATAAATAAATCTGTGAATTGATGGCTCTTTAAACCAAATATATTACCGAATACTCATTTGCCTCGGGCCATTTGGGGTGTTTCATTTATGTCAATATAGTAATCCTTTAACATGAGATTCAAACATGTTGCAGGAAGGGCAATAAACCTATTTTTTTTTCCTTTGGAAACAGGGTTTCACTACATTGCTCAGGTTGGTCTTAAACTCCTGGCTCAAGTGATTCTCCTGCCTGAGGCCCCTAAGTAGTTAGGAGTATAGGCACATATCACTGAACCTCACTTTTGACTCCAGGTATGTTCCTGATGGGCTTAGTTTGGATTCATAGAGCAATCCTATGAAATTAAACAAGGGTCAGTAAACTTTTCCTAAATGGCGAGATAGTAAATATTTTTGCTTCTGTGGATCATATGGTAAATGTTTTTGGTTTTGCAGACGGGTCTCTCTCTCAACTACTCAATTACTGTTGTACCCTCAAAACAGCTGGACATGGTATGTAAATGTAATATGAACAAATGTGATCCTGTGCCAATAAAATTTTATTTACAAAACCAGGAGGGGGCTGGATTTGGCCTGTCTACCATAGTTTGCAGACCCCTGAGAAAGAGGAATTAGCATACACTGAAGATGAAAAAAGCAGCACTCAAAAATACTAAGAATTGTGTCCAGTTTCACATAATGCAAAGAGTGAGGGTGAGATTTAATCCCAGGGCCATTCCATGCCAAACTTTTGTTTCCATCACCATGTACTGAATCTTACAGAGTACCTGTTTATACAGTTTAATAATTAGGACATCAAAAACTTCCATAGGCTGCAAATCTCTCCCTCGCCCACTCACTGAATTTAGAGGTTGCATACGTAGAAATTCTGCCCTTTGATGCAAGACTTCTCTTCTTTCTGAATTCCAAATAGCCCTCTGAGAGATAACAGGGTAAGCTGTATTGATTATATGCCTATAAACAATATGTTATCGAAACTCTTCTAATAAAAGGAGTGAGGTCTGCATTCCTGGGCAGGTGAGAGGAAGACAGAAAGATGAGATGAGGAGAACATGCCCAATGTGGAATAAGACAAGATCAGTCAAGGAAAGTTGTGAACCCCAGAAGAAAATTTACATCAACTCAATTTTTCCTGACACTGGCATGCCCAACAAATTGTCTATCCAATGGACCTGATGAAAGGGAAATAGAAACTTAATTAGTCAGGTTCGCATTTAGAATATTTTAGCTTAAAGAGTTCAGATCAACATTTGGATAACTAAGAATCATTTATGAGGTTGCTACTTTTTGAGAGTCAGTATAACCAATAACGTAGGAAGCTTAGAGCCCAGGAGAAGAGATAGGAACCAGACATAGAAAACTCATGGGGCTCCTAGCAAAAGTTTATCACTCTTGACACCATCATGGAGTTAAAGAGTCCTCCTAGTTATACCCAAAGTCTTCATGACATAACTAATTAAGAATCTACCTTTTCTTTTACTTTTCTTTTTATTTTTTAAAGGTTAGGATATCCCTCTGTCTCCCCGGCTGGAGTGTAATGGCACCATCATGGCTCACTGCAGCCTTGAACTCCTAGGCTCAAATGATTCTCCTGCCTCAGCCCTCCAAGTAGCTGGGACTACAGCCATGCACCACCAAGCCTTGCTGATTTTTTATTTTTATTTTTTAAGAGACAGGGCCTCACTATGTTGCCCAGGCTGGTCTCCAACTCCTGGCCTCAAGCAATCCTCCCACCTTGGCCGCTCAAATTGCTGGGATTACAGACATGAGCTACTGTGCCCAGCCAGTAGATAAGATTTTCACAAACCCATTTATGCTTCTAATAATCTATGATATTAAGAACTCACCACCAGATAACTAAGATACTAGGTTTAGATAGATACTAAGTTTAGATACTAGGTTTAATCTCAATGTAAATTTTGTCTTTCTACTTGCTGTATATCTTAGGCAAACTTTTTTTTTTTTTTTTTTTTTGAGATGTAGTTTTGTTCTTTCACCCACGCTGTAGTGCAGTGGCACAATCTCAGCTGACTGCAACATCCACCTCCTGGGTTCAAGCCATTCTCGTGCCTCAGCCTCCTGAGTAGCTGAGACTACAGGCGTACATCACCACACTTAGCTAATTTTTGTATTTTTAGTAGAGACAGGGTTTTACCATGTTGGCCAGGGTGGTCTTGAACTCCTATCCTCAAGTGATCTGCCCTCATTGGCCTCCTAAAATGCTGGGATTACAGGCATGAGCTACCATGCCCAGCCCTAGGCAAACTTTAATCTTTAATTATAGATGTAAAAATATATTTGCATAAATCTCAAGATCGAACCATTGTTGCTTTACTAAAATGATCCAAGACGAGAAATCCACCAACAATTAGTGTTGCTGACACATGCCATGGGTAAAAAACAGTTAAGGTGCATACTGCAATGCTAGGAGGATGACCCTGACTTTATAAGAATGTCTCCTCCACTTTCAGTAATAAGAAAAAATAAACACCGTATATTCTCACTCATAGACGGGTGCTGAACAATGAGAACACAAGGACACAGGGAGGGGAGCACTACACACTGGGGTCCGTTGGGGGGAAATGGGGGAGGGGCGGGGGGTGGGGAAGTGGGAAGAGATAGCATGGGGAGAAATGACAGATACAGGTGAGGGGACGGAAGGCAGCAAACCACACTGCCATGTGTGTACCTATGCAACAATCTTGCATGTTCATCACATGTACCCCGAAACCTAAAATGCAATGCAATAAAATAAAATAAAATAAAAATAAAAAATAAAAAAAAAGAAAAAGAAAATATAAAAATAAATTTTATATTGAAAACAAAAAAAAAAATAAAATCAGTAAAAAAAAAAAAGAAAAAAAAAAGAAAAAATGGAATAACATCGTATCTACCACATTCTGAAAAAGTTATGATGTCTGATTTATATTCTTCGATAGTCATAGAAATTAAGAAAATCAAATATGTACACTATTTTTCAAACATCCAAATTGTGGTTAATTTTATAGATCATAAAGAGATTTGGAGTATTTTATCTCTCACCTATTCTTGTTCTGGAGATCCAGAAAAGAATTCTGGTTCAATGAGGCAACTATAGAACATTTGGAACATTTCAAACTTGAAAATATTCCTCCCGCCTTCAAGAAACAAGTTACCTTTCCATTAAAGACAGTGTTATATCATACTTCCTTCAAGGGACTCTTTCATAAAACTGCATGAACATTCAGCCCTCACTTGCATAGAAATGTTTATCATTAAAACACCTAGTAGCCTGCAGACCTGGAAAAATACAATTCAAAAAGTAATTTATATACTGACATTTACTACTCTCCCTCCTATAAAATGTAATTTCCCTTGCTTATACTATAACGTTGTAATTATTCTTTACTTCTAGTTGATTCATGATGAAATATACAATGTTCTTATAAAAGTCATAGACTAGTGTTTATGAGATTATCTATCAACATTGGGATATAAAATCCTGACAAACATTCAACTGTATCCTACATAATCTGTTGAAAAGTCAGTCTGTTGTGTGGAATCACCTGAGACCCAAACAATATGTGTTACTATAGGTACTCTGCACTATGACTTATTTTTTTCTTACTTGTCTTTTATTCCTTTTCTGAATCTATACAAGAGGAATCAGTCCTTAGAATAAAGTGGTTTTTGATAGAATAACTATCATATCTCTTAATTGGTCAGGTAAGGTATTACCTAGTTTTAAAAGATAATTAGCAAAGGACCTTAACACAGAGAATCAACCAGTCAAATAGATTTCTTTCATTTAACTGCCTGTTTTGTTCATTTAACCACCATAATTCAAGTGTCTCCCCATATGGTTAAAAACTCCCACTGGTAAAGAGAATTCCTCTGGCACAGTCAACCAAGTGAAAACACAAACTCTTGGAGGACACAGTTAAAATATGTAAATGGCTCGTAAAAGATGTCCAACTTTGGCTGTTGCAAGATGAGACCAAAAGCCATTTCTTTCTCTCTTCCCCTTTAATATTTATGACTATAGCAGATGAAACTTTAAGAAAGCTGCAGTGTTAGAGTGTGGCATACAGCTGGTTGAATGGAAAGACAGTTGCATTCAGCTGAATTACAATCAATTTACTGAGCTCTTACTATGTTCCTGGAAAATTCAAGAAAGCTGTCAGCCTTGAAAACATTTCAGGACCTAGAAACAAACTGAAGTGAACAAGAAGTGGTAAAAGGAAGTCTCCCAAGTTTCTGGTCAGTAGTAACCTCAATGGAGACGAGAAATGCATGGGGCCATTAAGCTTTGTAAGTGGAGGGAGTGAGTTCAACTTGGAATATGTTGAGGCTGAGATGCCTATGTGACATTCAGATACAGACAATGACAGTGTAGAGACATTTGGTATTAGTGGAGAAATCAAGGCTGGATCTGACTCACTGGGAACGGACCATGAGTAGCTAGTGACTAAATTGTCAGAGCAGATAAGGTAGAACCCTGGAGAACTTCAATGTTCAAGAGCTGGATGGAGGCAGGATACCCTACAAGGAAACTAAGAAGAGGTATGAGAAAAATGAAGACACCTAGGAGTCAAATACACAAAGGTTAAGATGTAGTAATGGAGAAAGTGTAGTAAAACAAGGACAAACTCATCGGAAAGGGTCAATAAAATTAGAATAGAAAACATTCACCAGACTTAGAAATTAGCAGGGGCAGATTTGGTGGAAAAGTGAGATTGAAAAATAGATTGCAGGAGCTTGAGAAAAAATGTGGAAAGGAGAAAGATAAGACGGTAGCTAGAATGAAACCAGCATCAAGAAAAGGTTTGCTTTAGCACTGGAAGCCAAGCAGATCAAGGCAGTGGAGAGGAATAGGCTGAGGATGTAGGCAAAAGAGGGAATAATTAACTTGGTTTCACAAATACTTTTGTTGCTGTGTTTCTATGACAGGGATTATGATGGATGCCGTGACCACATAGATAGATAATCCATGGTCTCTGACTAGATGAGATTTGACTTTAGTGGATGCAGGTATCTGAATTGGGAAGGAATGGGTCTAGAAACCACATGGTGAAGTCCACCACATGCAGAAGGAAGGATGCCTCCCCCTTAGAATACAGAAGACAGGAGAACATAAACATAGACATGAGAATAGATATGTTTGTATTTATGGGGAACTGCATGGCTGACTGAGAGGAAAGGATTTAGACTAGACTGCACACTCCATGTGCAATGTGGCTTAAATGAGAGAAAAAGGTTTATAATCATACTTGAGAAGGCAGAAGAAGGAGCTAATTAAAGATCTCCCCGAGTTAACAGTTTGTGTGGGGATGCCCCAGGAAGACTGAATACGCTGTGGATATGCTACAGAGATCCAGGGTTCCATAAGAGTTTTATCTGTGGGCTGGGCCATGATTAAGCTCTAGATAATGTAACCTCAACAAGGACAAGTTAAAGTTGGACTTTTTGTATAGGGATGCCCCAGGAAGAATGAAGAAGCTGTGGATATGCTACAGAGATCCAGGGTTCCATAAAAGTTTTGTCTGTGGACTGGACCATGACGAGGCTCTAGATAATGTAACCCCAACAAGGACAAGTTAAGGTTGGACTTTTTTTCTCCTCGCTTTTGGTTCTGGAAAGTAACAGATATTAAATTATGGGAATTTGCAATCCCATACCAGTTTCTAATGGGGGAAATAATGTTGTTTATTGGAAGAACCAGGAGACCAAAAGACATGCTTATTTTATAAAACAGATGAAATCCCCACCACCAGTAGAGAAGGACAGCTCTTGCATGAGGCTGAAATTTAAAGGATTTTGGCCTGAGAAGGGGGTTGAGAAGGAATACAGAAGAATATAGTGAAGGATGAAGTTTTGGGGAAAGTGACAACTGAAGACAACTATGTAGCTGTCTTGAGAGTGGAACTCCAAAAAGAGAGAGAGCTGTAACTAGATTGATATTTTCTAAAGAATACTTTGCTTTCTAAAGAATGGATATTTAAGAAAGAGCAGAAACATAAATACTAATTAGGAGACTATTTTAATTTGTGGGAAAGGGAAGACAATAGGCTGAATAAGGGAAAGAACTGGACAGATTCCATATGGAATTTGAAATTAGAGACAAAAGATCTTTCTGAAGAATTGGATTTTTAGAGATAGAGAGAAACAACAGAGAAAAATGGAGAATGACTTCTGCATGTTTGGCTTGAGCAAAAGGGTGAATGTTGGTGCCATTTATTGAGGCCAAGCCCAGGAGAGGAACAGGTATGGGGGAAAATCTAGAGCTCATGTTTGAACATTTTATTTGAAATATCTGCAAGCCATCCAAGTGGAGGTGCTAAGTGGGTTGCTGAATCTAGGACTCTGGAGTTTAAAGAGTGGTCAGGGTGGGAGGGCAGAGCGTCATTAGCACTCAGATGGTGGTTAAATCCCTGCAACTCATTGAGACCTCCAGGGGAGAGACCAGTGGCCCATCCACCTTCATTCTGTTCTCTCAGTGAGTTCTCTGCCTGTGTGATGCACTTCTCTAACTCTCCGTACTCATCCATGATGCTGCATTTGTGTGGAATGATGTCTATTCCTTGTGAGCCTGCAGATCACTCACTTTTCAGGACCTCATGAGGGATGATGTGACTCTCATTCCCCACTTCCATGTTGGTCATTTCTGCTTCCACTGTTTCCTATAGTTCTGTCTGTATGCAACACACAGATCTTTCTTAATATTTTACATATTTATCTTGCAAAATCAAAATTAGGCACTTTGAAGGCAGAAACCAACATACATCATTGTTCTAGGAAAAATGTATATGTGTGCATATATATGCATTTGTGTATGAGTATGTATGTGTGTATAGTTACATGTGTGTTTGTATTTGTAGATACATGTGTATATGTATGCATATATGTACATATATACCTATGCACACACTATATTTATATAAAATTATGGAACATATATGCCATACAGTGTATTAGAGCATATAGTGTGTATATATATATACAATATAATATAGTATTCCTGGCATTAGACACAGTGATGTCATAATTCATAGGCATACAATTTCAATGTGATGAGCAGATAGATGAATGGATTAAAAATGAATGAGGTTACTAAACATATTTCCATCAGAACTTTTAGGTAAAAGTTATATTGTACCGAGACTCACATAAAAATCAACCATTTCAAGTCCATCTGATCTCCAAAGAGACTCTTTCTCAAACAGATAGAAATCTGTTTCTGGATCACTTTTGGAAGCATTATTTCAAACAAACCTGCCCATTTGGCTCCTACGTTTTCCCACAGGTGGGAGGTAATTATGAGCCACCCCTATGTCTCACTCTGCAGGGCCAGCACTGCCTTTCTTAAATTCAGACAAATGTTTAACACATTCTTCTCTTTCTGAACAAGGCCCACTTCCCTGATCAAAGGCAGCCACGATGATGGGGTTCTGCTAGCCTAAAAAAAAATCATCATCGAAGGAGCCCCTGAGACAAAGGCCTCCTCCCTCCTACTCTCATTTAATTTGTCCTAGTTTTCCAAAACCTTGCTAGGAGCCTCTACATGGCAGTTCTGACCAGTATCCACGTTTGAACAAAGTCAGGAACATCAAGTAACTTATTCTCTGACTCAGGGACGAATGTCATATAAGGCTCTTCTCTTGTTTTGCTTAGTTCCCAGCAAACATACTAACATACTAGGTAAGAAAAAAAGGAATAAGGAAAAGCAATATGGGAATGATTTAATAATTTCACTCAGTGGAATATTAGGTAAACTTTCAAGCAATAATTATGACCACTATGTAGTACTAAGAAGAACAGGCATGCCACACTAGTTTTTGTGCCCCTACCCACACACGTATATACACACACATTATTCCAAGTGCTTTGATATATTTTGGTCTCTGCCTTCAAAGTGCCCAATTTTGATTTGGGAGATAAATATGTAAAATATTTACACAAAGATAAGTGTATTGTATACAGAACTACAGAAACACTGTAATTCCAGCACTTTGGGAGGCTGAGGCAGGTGGACCACCTGAGGTTAGGATTTCGAGAGCAGCCTGGCCAACATGGTGAAACCCCGTCTCTACTAAACATACAAAAACTAGCCAGGCATGGTGGTATGCACCTGTAATCCCAGCTACTTAGGAGACTGAGGCAGGAGAATGGCTTGAACCTGGGAAGCAGAGGTTGCAGTGAGCTGAGATCACGCCATTGTACTCCAGCCTGGGTGACAGAGCGAGACTCTGTCTCAAAAAACAAAAACAAAAACAAAAACAACTACAGAAACAATGGAAGCAGAAATAACATCGATTTATAATACTTTGTACGTATTATCCTTAAAAACAAGTATGCATATGTGCAAGTCATGTAAACATAAAAATAGTCAATCTGTTAGAATGAGACATAAGTTTTCTTAAATTTCCATTACAACACCAAAATTGTACCTACAATAGCTAAAAACCTTAAGAAAGAATTCAAAAGTCAAACTGTTTTATACATCATAGTTTAAATGCTATTGTCACATGCATGTGGGTAAGAAGATTTGCCAGGTAATCATTCCAGATCAAAATCTCAGTCTCCCTCCATTGTGCCTGGATGTGATGTGGCACCTGTTAGGTCACAAACATCTTGAAAAACATGACACAGTCACTTACTGTTATTGGCTGCATGTGTGGATGTGAAGTGAAGGGACACCTTTGCACTCTTCAGCCGTGTCTGTCCCCAGTACGTTATGGCCTGCAATTCCACAACGTAGTCACAGTCTGGCTGAAGTTTCTCCAGGATCACAGAATTTTGAAACTAAAAATGAAGAGAATATATCCAAAATGCATTACAAGCCTTCCATGTCTCATCTTCATTGCAAAATCTCTTGTGTCATTATGAAGCATACCAACTTCTGATTTATTTTGCCAACTTTTCTATGTCTTTGGGATCTGAAAATTCAGTTTTACTACTGACCAAAATAAATTTTAGGCCAGATGTGGTGGCTCCTGACTACAATCCCAGCACTTTGGGAGCCCAAGGTGAGAGGATGGCTTGAGCCCAGGAGTTTGAGACTACCTGCGCAGCATAGCAGGATTGTTTCTTAAAAAAAAAAAAAAAAAAAGAGCTGGGCATGCTGGTATGCACCTGTAGTTCCAGCTACTCAGCAGGCTGAGGCAAGAAGATTGTTTAAACCCAGGGAGTTGCGGCTGCAGTGAGCTGTGATTGCACCACTGCACTCCAGCCTGAGCAACAGAGTGAGACCTTGTCTCAAAAAATATAATAAAATAAAAAATAAAAATGAACTTCATAGAAAGGCCAAATGTATTTTGAAAATACCGTTTCTAAACCAATTATTGCTCTCAGATACCATGGAAATGAATCATGATGAGCCCTCTCCTCTCTTGAGGCACCACCTCTCAAAGGAGTGAGAACTGTTTATAATAAAGTAAAAGAGGTTTATGTTGCCAGATACCTGGAAAAATTATCAATTGCCACTAATTGTAATTCTTTGATACCTGTTCTAAATTTTCTAGGAGCAAATTTCTACCTAAAAGAAAAATTAACTTGACAAAATGCTTCAAGGTGCTTCATGATTTTCTGTCATAATGTTTTGGGCAGGGAGCTGGAGGGCAGGACCTGTCCGCATTTTATCATGTCACTTTTTGCTCTAGATTCCTATGTGATTCCCCAATTTCAGCTCTTTCAGCTCATAAGTGTGCATTACCATTGTTACTTGTAGCAAAATCTTTCAATATGAAAAATGCAACTGTCATAAAATTTCATAAAAATAAAGTGACCGCAGTATAATGGCTAAATATCAATGATACAGGCTTTTTGAGACATGTTTTATATTACTTTGGGACACAGATATTGAAATCTTTGGTGTAAAAAGGTTTACACCAAAGTAGTCTTCCTATCTTTTCGTTTCTAAACTTTTTTTTAATCTATGGAATTCAACTTTATAAGTGATGAGAAAAGGTGGTAATGTAAATTTTATGACAAGATAAAGGAATGTATACTAAAAGGAATCCAAATAACTATTTTTATGCAGGAAGCATTTCAAATAATACAAGATGCTTGCTATCATAAGACTCTCACTGCAGAAAATGGTTCAATGAAGATTTTATTTCCTGGCATCTGACAAACCACTCCAGATCCTTTTAATCAATGAGAACACATTGTTAGACGTGCCCTTCCTCAGCTGTTACTGCCCAGTGATTAGATTACAGATGGAAACACCTCACAACAGAAAAGTTATGAATATCTACTCTAACATTTACAAGGATCTCTCTCTCTAAAAAAACAAAAAGAGGAAAGAAACGAAAAAGAAAGACTTAAAAGTAAAGCACATTTTGCATGATATCATTTTCTATGGCCAGACAGATAAAATAGCTATCATTTAAATTGTTCCTTTGATTTCCAGAGTTGTGACTGCCATTTAGATAAAGAATAGGTCATTGGTCTAAATGCAGTTGCTTCTGCCCAAAACATAAAAGGCAAAACAGCTGGCATGCCCCTGCATTCCATGAACTTCCTTGATAGAAATGAATGGGAGGGAAGCTTTCCAGCATCTATGGCATCTCTCAGTCCAGCAGAGGCCTCTTCTCAGGCCACTTGCCTTGAGTTGAAATAACCTCTGCGGGAAGAGTAGCCCTTCCTCCAGTCCCCACTCACCCCATCTGTAGTCTTTCTCCGCTTCTTCTTCGTTGGGACAAGAGACTTACTGCTGACCGTCCAGCTCCAAAAGACCTTGTAGTGATGCACAGGGATGTCCGGCTCCTCAGGGAGATCCCAAACTATAGTGACAGTTACACTTCCATCACTGTTGATGGTGGAGTTGGCCAGCCGAAGGTTAGCTGGTGCTGGTGGGGCAGATGGATCTGAAATCCCAGTACAAAGACACATCATATGACTCCACAAAACTAACATCTCTGGACATATAATGACTACATGGTCAACATGTGAAGTATTGCTTTTTATAGGTAGAAAAGCTGAAAATGAGGGTGGGAAGACATGGTGGCTCATGTCTGTAATCCCAGCCCTTTGCAAGGCTGAGGCGGGCAGATCTCTTGAGCTCAGGAGTTTGAGAGCAGACTGGGCAACACAGTGAAACCCTGTCTCTTCAAAATATAAAAAATTAGCTGGGCAGGGTGGTGCACACCTGTGGTCCCAGCTACTCAAAAAACTCAGGCAGGAGGATGGCTTGAACCCAGAAGGTCAAGGCTGCAGTGAACTGTGATTAGCACCACTGCATTCCAGCCTGGGCAAGAGAATGAGACACTGCCTCCAAAAAAAAAAGGAAAGCAAAGCTGAAAACAAGTACTTTAAGTAAGAGCTCCTTGTTAAGCCTCAAATTAAAATATAGTCGACAAAACAGTAAGATAAATTTGTTTGGTACAAATTTGTAATCCAGAAGAATCATTTTAGGCATTTCCATACCACGGCAACCCAGCCAAATTTTTACTGTGCTGAAATTGATACATATCAGTAAAATATAGTAAAATTTAATGTAGGTGTATTGACATTAAATAGGTAAGCAACAGAAAATCACCTTTGAACACTCTGAAAAGAAAAAGAAATTCAGCTCACACAAGCAATTGTTTTCATCTTCGTGCCCTGTAGTTAGTGATTCTTGCATCAGCTAACAGCAATAAAGGGAAATCAGAAAAGAAAAAAATAAAAACCTGCACCATTCTTTATCCACACTGCACACTGGATGACTTACGGACAGCATTCAATTTTGTGATTGTACCATTTCTGGTTTGTCTTATTAACGAAAACCTTCTCAGCCGTCAAGAGAAAGATGAGGTGCTGGAAGTACCACCTCACAAATCTCCATTGAAAATTTATATTTGAAGAAGACTAAATATAGCAAAGTTGGAGGGTCTTTACTTCATTTTCTGTTATAAGTTGAGCAAGGGGAGATGCTGCTCACCACCAGTGATTTACAGAGGGTTTCATTTCCAAATGCCATCACAGGAAGATGCTGTCAATAATTCTAATTATAACACCATCTGTGTTGGAGGCTCAAAAAAGTCATATCTAACTTGATACAAATGAAGAAGAGTGGAGAAAAAAAACACCATGTTTTTACTCTCAGTCGTTTGTGGTTTTGGAATGATGGAAACCTAAGTTATTTTTTGAAATTTTTTGCTTTCCTATATCATATATAGTATCTGAACATTTAGTTAGGTTAGTTCCTTTATTTTCTAGAATAAGAAAGCTTCATGATATTTTTTAGGTAAGAGGCTAATCAAAAGCATATTATGTGATGCTGCTAGTCAAATCATTCTCTTTTTTTAAAAATTAACTTTTATTTTAAGCTCCAGCATATATGTGCAGGCTGTGCAGGGTTGTTACAGAGGTAAATGTGTGCCATGGTGGTTTGCTGCACAAATCAACCCATCACCTAGGTACTCAGCCCAGCACCCATTAGCTGTTCTTCCTGATGCTCTCCCTCCCTGCCTCCCCTTCAGCAGACCTTAGTGTATGTTGTTCCCCCTCCATGTGTCCATGTGTTCTCATCCTTCAGCTCCCAGTTATAACTGAGAACATGCAGTATTTTGTTTTCTGTTCCTGCATTAGTTTGCTGAGGATAATGGCTTCCAGCTCCATCCATGTCCCTGCAAAGGACATAATCTTACTCCTTTTCATGGCTGCATAGTATTCCCTGGTGGATATGTTCCGTATTTTCTTTATCCAGTCTACTGTTGATGGGCATTTGGGTTGGTTCCATGTCTTTGCTATTGTGAATAGTGCTGCAATGAACACAAGTGTGCATGCATCTTTATAACAGAATGATTTATATTCCTTTGGGTATATACCCAGTAATAAGACTGCTGGATCAAATGGTATTTCTGAGTCAAGCCACTCTCAGTCAACATCAGGAATCTCTGGAATGTCCAAGACTTATACTGAGATATGCTGATTCCCTGAGTGCAGGTGGGACCCAGGAGTATGTATATTTTACATGAAACACACAAGTAATACTGAGATAGATGACCTGCAGGTCAAAAGTAGACAAGTACTGCATGAGGTGGCTACAAAGCATAAGGTCTGAACATCAAATATGTAAGAAGAAAATGTTTTCTCCTGTTGTTATCGGGATGGGAAGCACCCCAATAGGCTTGGCAGAGCCATCTGAAGACTCCCGCAGTCATCAATATTCACAACACTGATCACTTCCTTCTTTTAGAAATGCAGCCTTCATTTGGTTTCCAGGACACTTACTTTACTGGATTTTGTTTTGTTTTGTTTTGTTTTGAGACAGAGTCTCACCCTATCACCCAGGCTGGAGTGCGATAGCACAATCTTGGTTCACTGCAATCTCTGCTCGCCTGCCTGCTTTAAGAGATTCTCCTACCTCAGCCTCCTGAGTAGCTGGGATTACAGGCACCTGCCATCATGCCTGGCTAATTTTTGTATTTTTGTAGAGAGAGGGTTTCATCATGTTTGCCAGGCTGGTCTTGAACTCCTGACCTTGGGTGATCCACTTGCCTTGGCCTTCCAAAGTGCTGGGATTATAGGCGTGAGCCACCATGCCTGGCCTCTACTGGATTTTCATTCAGTTTCAATGGAAGCTACTTCTCAGCCCCATGCTCCATGACCCTTAACATCCCATCATCTCTAGACAGGAGACTGTTCTGCATCTCAAGTCAGGGCCCTCTCTCTTCTCATCTACACTCACTCTCTAGCGATCTCATTGTGTGTCACAGTTTTTAAAAAGTCATTGTGCTGATAACTTCCAAACTGATGTCTTCAACATAGACCATGCCCCTGAATGCAGATCCAATCATTCAAATATCAATACTAAAAAAATACCTTCCAGTAGCTCCACTTGGAGGTCTCAGAGGCATCTCAAAACTAATGTGTCCGAAAGCAAAATCATGATCCCGCATAGCTCAACACCAATACATATCCCCCCACACATAGTCCACCACTGACATCTCAGTACATGGGAATTGTTCTTTCCAGTTGCTCTGGCCCCAACCCTTGAAGTCTTACATTTATTTTCCACTCACATCCCTTGAGCAAATTGTGTTAGCACTACCTTCAAAGTGTAACAGGAATTTAACTGCCTTTCATCACTTCCAAAGCCCTGGGCCAAGCCAACATCACCTTTCCCCGATTACTGCCAAGGGCTCCCCACTGCCTCCCTAGTGGTTTTTCTCAGTACAGCAGTCTGATGATTCTATACTGCACAGACCATGTCACTTCCGTGCACATGCCGTACAACTCACTCTTCAGTTACCTCCCAGAGCGCCTTTCCTTTTATCACCTCCACCCCTCAGCCCCAGCACACTGGTTCTCATGATATGTCTTGGAGAGGAAAACTATGATGCTACTGAGGCTTTTCCTCTCCCTTTGCCTTAGCACTTTCCCTGATGTCCCACAGCTGGCTCCTTTCCTGCTACAAGGTCTATCAAATGTGACCCTATTTAAAACAGCTACATATGCTTTTCTTCATTTACAAAAAAAAAAAAAAAAATCACCATGATTATCCCTTGCTTCACTATTGTCCAAGCCCTAATTACCATGATGGTAAATACTGAGTGCCAACTTGATTGAATTGTTCCTGGGGATGTCAGTGAGGGTGTTGCCAAAGGAGATTAACATTTGAGTCTGAGAAAGGCATTTGACTGGGAAAGGCAGATCCACCCTCAATCTGGGTGGGCACCATTTAATCAGCTGCCAATGTGGCCAGAATCAAAGCAGGCAGAAGAATGTGGGAAGTATAGACTGGTTTAGTCTTCTGGCCTACATGTTTCTCCCGTGCTGTGTGCTTCCTGCCCTCGAACATCAGACTCCAAGTTCTTCAGCTTTGGGACTTGGACCTTTGAACAGAGACTGAAGGCTGCACAGCTGGCTTCCCTACTTTTGAGGTTTTGGGACTTGGACTGCCTTACTTGCTCCTAAGCTAGCAGATGGTCTATTGTGGGACCTCACCTCATGATTATGTGAGTCAATACTCCTTAATAAACTCGCCTTTATATATACATCTGTCCTATCAGCTCTGTCCCTCCAGAGAACCCTAATACACAAACCGACACATTAGTTACCTTGTTTGCTGTCTGCTTCTACTCATGATAATGAAAGCTCCCCGAGAGGAGTAATGTTTGTCTGTTTTTTCACACCTGTATCTCCAGAGTCCAGAAGAGCACCTAGCGCACAGTATGTGCTTAGTAAGCAATTGCTGCATGAATATATGAATGAAGCACAGTCTTCTCCTAAACGTTGGCTTTGATTTGTAAGGTGATATTTCAGTTGCAGGTTCAAAGCCTGTCAATCAGAATTGCTAAATCACAAAATCCTAAAGTGAATTGCAAAATCAAAGGAGTGTTCTTCCCAGTTTGACATAAAATAATTAAAGAAACATCACTTCCTCTGGTGTAGGAGTCAATCCTTAACCTACAAAAGGGAGCTACCAACCTTCCTGGGAGGAAACCTAGTTTACAACTGAGTCATCACTTCAAGGCAAGAGAAGAATTAGAATGTGTGAACATAATAATAGCCGTTCGTGTTCTCAGCAATGCACCTGAATGTCTATATGCTGAAAATAAGTAGTCACATGAATTTTGCAGATATTCTAGCCTCATAAGTAAAATCTCAAAATAGTCTCTCCTTGTAAAGAAACTCCAACATTTAAGAAGGCCACTGATACTAGGAATTTGATCATCTCCTTTAATTTATGTTATTCATTACATCATTTCCTGCCGCGGAAAATTTTTCTTGGATGTTATAATAATCCAGAATAACATCATCTAGTTTATGAAACATTATGCAATATGAAACAACACAATTTATGAAAACATTTGAGAAAATGTTTTTAAAGATATGAATTAATAATATTTTCTTTACATTTTCTCAAAAGGAAGCCCCA